CAGAACTAGAGTAGTAATACATTAAATAATATTAAATTGATAAGAAATTTACTAATTCTTGGTAAGCATTACAATCTTTAAAAATACTAATAATTTGATGTTAATAAAATTCTTAAAAATTGCAAATAATTTTATTGCGAAAAATATTATCTCAGTCGTGACTCCAACCAGATTTCCTGTATTCCGTGCGGGCACCTTCCAATTCGATCATCGAGGCTTTGGTAATATTCTTTACGATAAGTTATTGCGAAGAATATTACCGAAGCCTTGAATGGGAAGACGCTTGCATGGTAGATCCGGATTGGAATCCCGACTAAAGTAATATTTTTCTAAAAAATTATTCGTAGCTTTAAGATCTGATTGCACCTTCGTTTTTTTACTTTAAGCGAGACATAAAACTCTGTCTCATTTTAAAGCCGGAAAAAGAATTTTAAGCCTCGCTTAAAAAAATCAAAGTAACATTGATATTTCAATCAGGTGTTAGAGCAATGCTAGGATTTATTTACACATTTCGGCCGATTTTTAATTTGGTTCTTACTCCTTACTTCACCAATCCGCATCGATAAGCATTTAGGCTGCGTGCGGATTGGTAAAATAAGAGGCAGAACCAAGTTGAAAATCGGCTGAAATGTGCAAGTAAATGCAGTGCCTTAGAGTCTTATTAATATTAAATTATTAATATCCTCATTAGATGTATAGTAGCATCAAAAATTATTAAATATAGCTTATCAATTTAATGTATAATGTTATTATTCTTTTGTCCTTGATTGCGCTTCAAAATTGTAAAAGATTTCGGCGCACGATTTGTAGAATTGGATATGTATATAAATTTATACCGCGAAATATTTATAAGCATTAAGATTCGCTCTGTGATTGAAAATAGAATTTCTTTTTCTTAATTTGATTTATTCTCATAAATCTAATCTCAAATTATAAGATTTTGTTTTGTGTTTTTTAACAAACAAAAGAGACAAGTTTTAAACAAGAAAAAAATATTTGATAGCTTTGATCCGTATAAATTTTTCGCTAGCGTTTTAAATTGAAACTGGAAAATACCGGAAATTAAGTAAGTGACGTGAGACAAAAATTTAAAAGTTTCCTCATCTTATATATCTTGTTTTCTTGAGTCTGATCCTTCCACTTTAGGTCAAATTTTTTTTACTTTTTGTGTTTACGTAAAAAGAGCGCATTGTTTAATTTTGTCCCACTTTAAAGGGACACATCATTATTTTGTTTGTACTTTACTCTTCAACTCTTCAACAAAATCAAAACGCACTAAAATGCGTTTCTGAAATATTAATATTTATTAATATTTATTAATATTTATTTTTATTAATATTTACTTTTCTAAAAACATGAGACTATCTTGCTCGTAATATACAGATGTTACTGAAATAATGTCTACTAATCATATAGTTTTTTATTAGAAATAGCACTATGAGTGGGCGTTATTTCATATCCTATATAACAATAATTAACAAAAGTAGCCATGAGGAGTAATTTTTTTATTAGCTTTATTAGAAAAGAGTCAAACAAATATATCATTTAAATTATACTTCACGATGTTCGAAAGAAACTTTACTTATTTTATATATAGATTTGAACTCATCGCGTACAGAGAGAATAGCTTGTCAAATTATAGAGTATAAAAGGTAAATTAAAACTGCATAAGTACCATTTGCTGCACCAGTATTACGATTTTATTAATGTATATATGAGATATATTAATTTTGCCACTTATAGATAAAAATGCTTGGCACAGTGTCTTTGTACTTATGATTTGTACTTACTGATAATAGTTATAGTACTTTAAATACTCTGAGAATTCATGAGAAATTACAATGAGAATATGCGCGAGATGACGCGAATATTCAGATTATTCACTATGACATTAGTTACATATATTATAATTGTCAAATAAAGCGTATTAAGTGCAATATTATTCCTTTATATTAATGATACAATAAGGAAAGCAAATCTATTTTATTGAATGTTAAGTACGTATAATTGATCTGTATTTATTATAATTAAATTTCTATATATTATACAAATTGCTATTAAATAATCTCAAAATGATTGCATGCTACAGAATTCTTTATTTTCATTGTTTTTACATTCATGTTAAGAGATTAATTCCATACAATTTCTTTTATGAACAACTTTTTAATAATAATTAAATAAATAATGGACGCAACGGTCTTAACTTTTAATTTGAAATCGAAAATATAATAGCAAAATGTATATTACTAGTTTTTAAATGGTGTGCCTTTAAAAATGTCCAACCACAGGGCATGAAGTTTGTCAGGTGCAGCGCAACTAAGCGGCCGGCTGCACAAACGCTTTGATATCACTAAACGTCACAGAACCAAGTATTGCAAAGATAAAATCTCTATCTATATCTATACTAACATCTACTGCGATATTTTTAAATTGAATCAATCGTTTGATAATATTGAATTTTCAAAAAATGTAACATTATTTGATTCAAAACTATATGCCAATTTTTTCAAATACATATCAAGTTGGAAATTTTTTTATGAAAATTCGCACTCAAGTGCAATTTATGGATTAAACTAGAACGTTATTAGTGTATTAGGTTAATAAATTAAAAATCTGTATTTTATTAATGCTGTATCAGCAAACACAATACTGTACTTACAAAACGCGTATTAAATTGCTAAACTTTGTGCTAGTACTTTTAAATTATTTGTTTAATAAACAAACAATTATTATATATGATGTAATAGATGCAGGATAATATATCATATAATTGGAAAATTGAAATCAAACTTCGAAAATTTGATTTTTGGCCAGCTTTTTCAAATTTTAGACTACTGTGCGACATTTAATTTTGTCGTCTGTGAAAATAGAAAGACAAGAGGATGCCGTTTCGCTCTCGTCGGGCAGTTATAACACAGTAAAGACTGAAGAGTCTCCGCACAGATAACCAATTATCCGCAGAGAGGGGACCGAAATACGACAGATGCGTCCCGACGCGATTCACCGTGATGGCGCGCCGTCACAATCGTCGGATTAGCGCAAATCCTCATGGATCGGTTAGATGCAATTAAGTGCATCGTGCGTGGACAAGAACGAAATGTTCGCACAGATTCCCGCGGGACTTGTACTTGAACTCTCGCACGCAAATGTTACTACTCCAATAACAAAGGCTGCTTCTTCCTTGTTTCTGCTTTGTATTCAAAAATGAAAACTTTGAGAGGTGAAGTTAATATATTTCATTAAACATTATTTTTTTCATTATTTTATAATATGTTTCATTCCCTTAATATATTCGTTAACCAAATGTACACATTACAATTCAGCAAATAAGTAAATATTTTGTCTATACTTTAATGTCAAAATGGCAAGTAATGTTAGTTTGCTGGGAAATAGAGGGTGGAGAGAAAAAGTAGGAAAAAGAGAAAGAAAAAAGAGGAAGAAGGGGAGAAAGAGAAGGAAAAGGTGAGAAAGGATAAGGATCACAAGAGAGAGAGAGAGAGAGAGAAAGAGAGAGAGAGAGAGAGAGAGAGAGAGAGAGAGAGAGAGAGACAGAAAGAGAAAAAGGAAAAGAGGCAGAAAAGAGAGTCATATACAATGTTGAAATTAAAGAGAAATTATCGGTAACGCGAATCATCCGGGGTTAATATCGAGTTAAACATTGAGCCATGTGGGCAAAGTTGAGTAAACTCATCCTATAATGCCGGACTACAATGTAGAATGGTGTAATGTCGAATCCGCCGGGGGCCCATCGAGAGCTAACCGAAGAACCGCCGCTATACGGCCGCCGTTGCCGCATCGGCGACGAGTTATATCCGGATATCTGAACCGGTGGTAAAGCCGGTAGCGCTCGTACGAGGAACTATTACTGTCCCTTGGGAACGACCATCCATCTCCATCGGATCCTTCTCATGCGCGAGTCGGAATCGGCCGCTTCGGTCTCTCGCTTGTCCCACTCCACGTTAGGAATACGCAGGCGCATGCAGCACTCGATATGCTAGCTATTAACCCTCCATGCGTGCGTGCTTTTTGAAAAATGAACAGGCTCGGCTTCGTGACTGAAATGTAAAGTGGCGTCGTGCCCGACGGCCCTCGAAAGCCGAAACCGATGATATCCGCGGTATACAATTCTTTTCCCATCACGGATTGAGTTGCCAGACTGTTAACGAGTGCGTCGATGAACTATTGTGCGCGAAGGATATTTGACCATAACGAATATTGTTATCTCTTCAATGCTCTTGTATATCATATAATCTCTTGTATCGTAGAAAATGAAATCGCCCAACTTGTTTGATTAAAATTATACTCATTAAAATTTTACTAGAATAATTATTTTGATACGAAAACCTCGAGGAGCAGCAATGAGCATACGCTTAAGAAATCACATTATCAAAATGTCATACTATCGTTTAACTTTACATAACTCAAAATGTAATGTCCAATAAAAAAAAATTAGATAATAAATAACATATTAAAATATACATACTATAGTTATGTAACAATATGCTCAAGTTTAAGAAGAATGAGGAAGCATGTGTAATCATATAAATGCTAAAGTGTATCTTAAAAACATTTCGAAATGTTTGAAAATAAAAATGCTTTATAATAAATACTGATTATTGTGTATTGATATATTAATGTCATGATATAACTACTTAGTGAACATATTAAAATAATTTTATAAGTAATCACTAGAATTTATTGCCTATAATAGCGAAGATATGAGGATCCATGACATCTACACTGGCCATAATATTACTACTTTTTTCTCTAAAAAATCTCTAATAATTCATTCCTATTTATTCAATTCCTGTGAATATAAATAATACATTCCACAATCAGGCTACTCCTCACCCTGATGAAGTGGATTGCAAAGTTCACGAAATGTTGGTATTCCAAGAATGGAGACTAGACACGAAGGAAATCCGCGAAACGCATAATCTTTATATAGAAAGCACCCGTGGAAGCCTCATTCCATAATAATCATTGAAACTTCGACTCACCTGTATATTAGCTTTCGTCTAACACTCCTCTTGAAAAAACCACTGCAGCCGTTGCAGGCAAGTATTCCATAATGTTTGCCGGAACTAGTGTCGCCGCAGACCACGCATATGAGGCCGAGACTACGTGGTGGTTTGCTACCATGCTGTGGTTGCTGTGGCTGCTGTTGTTGCTGTTGTTGCTGCTGCTGATGCTGTACCTGACCCAACAAATGTGGATGACCGTTCCCAAGTGCAGTTAAATACGGTGACCGGGCTAGAGGAAAGTCCGTCGGCATTCCTCTGCAGAGGGGTACCGGACATTCTTGAACCGATCGGGAAGCATAAGGATCGTGGCTTGACGTAGACCCCGTCGCTCCCAACGGACTGTAACGTTCCGGCAAACCCGGAGAAATGACGCTGCTCTCGCCGGAATCTGGAATGCGAATTTATTTATATGATTTTTGTAATAATTAGGATTTGATAAGAAAGAGAAAAAGAAATATTGATGGAAAAATTTCGCTGAAACTATTTCATATTTTGGAACACTTCTCAACGAAATTTCAACAAAATTTTAGCATTTCAGAAAAATTTCAATTGAAAAATTTCATCGACTTTTAACTGAAAAATTCATTTTCAGCAAAATTTTAGCAGTTCAGCAACAAATTTCAGCAATTTTTCAGTATATTAGCTGTGAAAATTTCAGTGAAATTTCAAAAAATTTTCAGCAATTTTGCTGAAATTGTATCATTTTTACCGAAATTTCAATAAAACTAACTTCCAGATCTAACATAATCATGTACGATCATATAACCGTACTTGATCATACATTAATCAATTTAGAGTGATACTTGGTGAAAATTTCACGTATTTGTTTGCCGATCTGGCTAGTACAAATTAAAAAAATCATTGTAAAAAATAATCTCTGTAAATAAAATTTTTATTGCAATTGGATAAAAAGAACACATGCCGATGGACATCTTGTAACATAAAATTTGACATTAGAATGTCAATATTAATAATAGTCCTATTCAACAAAGAAAATTTGCAACAGTTGCAAAATAGCTCTATTAGTATGAATAGTGAATCGGATGCTAAAAATGTATGAATGTATACAACTATGTACAATCATATATCGTGCAAAGAGTTCGATATGCTACTGTATGGAATTATATATATATATATGATCATGGATTGTCATATAATAACTCGTTCATGTATGGTTCCACAAATCTGTACGTGAATGTATATAACCATGCACGAATATACCACACTTAACCATTCATTATAATATAATAGCATTCAAAATTATACATTATTTAGTGTATGACTTTGTGTGTCCATGTATAATCATGTATAATCATATATGGACCATTTATTCTCGGGCTTATTTTAAATGTATATTAAGATTTAAGAAGAAAAAATGTATATACTACTTTTAAGATTTGTAAAAACAACATAAAAATATCCTATTTGTTTGATGAAAATATAGAGGCCAGAATTATAATGTCTGTACATTTTTTAGTAGTTCATCAATCAAATTTATGTATATTGTTGAATTATTACACTGTTGCTATGCCATTGCGTCTAAGAGTTCTTTTATCAACTTCTAGTTAAATCGACGATCAACTCAGAAGTGCCAACAGTAGTTTAAAGTATCAAGACGTAAGTATCTTCTTTTTCTTTCTCTTCTAAGATAAATTGTATTTAGTAATCTCGTTAGCAATTGTGATGTGCATGTGTCCATCGATTAGTATTAAGGAGATCCTAAAATTATCTGTATTACCGACTAAACATAATTTTTATATAATAATTTTTATATATTAATTATTTATTTTTTCCTCTTTTACAAATTTGAAAATTCTTTTCCAGGATTAAAGTATACGCATTAATACGTGTCTGTGGAGTTTATGCCGAGAACGAAAAAAAATTATTTAAATCGAGATCTTCTTAAATCGAGATCATTTCTTACTCCAATATGACATAGATCAATAGTTTAGATCGTAGTTTGCTTATATAAAAGCTTTGCAATCTTGCGAAATTGTAGTCCACAGACTAGTAGTTCATGAACAAACAATAAATTTTCTTCTTAAAGGTATTCAAAGTTCAAAATGCGTGTGTAAATCAGGATAATCGATATTTTCAATACTTAAAAAAAATATATGAAAAGATCTTTCTTTATTTTTTATTGATTGAGGACATGCAAATTAGAAAAAATATTATTTTTTTGTTAAATATATACAATATAAATTTGTTTTTACGGATTCGTGACAGTACATTAATTTCTTATTACTTATTACTATAAGTTACAATCTATCTAAATTAACGAGTTTGATATCAAAAGGAATTGAACTCAAAGAACATGTTAATTATACAAATTACTCTAAACAATCTGTATCAATAATAAAAGGATTCAAGACGAATACAGAATTAAGTTAATAAGAAATAAGTTAATGTATATTGTCTCCATATAGATGTCGCCGCATCGAAATTTTTTAAAAAGGAACTTCCAAGAAGAAATTATATCGAGATAATTTGCAATTGATAAATTATTGTTGCATTCTTCAATACTCATGAATTTATAGTTATCTTGTAGTAGATTTAATACAATTGCAGAAACTACGATTCAACAACAGTATCTTTGAATTTTCTCAGGGAACGTGTGATCGTCAGAAGTAATGAAAAAATTATTGTAATTCAACACCCACTTCATATTTTCTCATTTTAGATCGAAACATCGAATAATTTCGTACTTTTATTAAACGCATTTGTGGAGATATTTGCACGCAAATTACAAATATAAAATAAAATCGGAATTGTTAATAATATTAGTTTGATCCTTGCGCAATTTAATTGAAAATATCGTTCGATTGTTAAATTACCTCGCGCTTACCTGTGATTATAACTTTAATTACAGTTTTAATTATAACGAGCTCCAATTTAGCTGAATTACTTATGGCATTTACATATTTCTATTAATTTAATTCATTACATTTTCAATGAGACAAAAAGGCAACAGTTTTTAACAGTTTTTAACATTATAATTTTTTACAATTTTGTGCATAATATAAAAATTAGTTTCATTTATTACATATCAAATAATTACTTTATTTTGAACGAAATCAATTATAATTCTTTATATATCATCATATCGCGACTAAGCGGAAAAAAATCGGATTATTTCCTCAACTGCAGTTATAGATATCTAACTGTGGCAATTCATTATCTTTTTCGATCGCAGAACCGCTTCTTGGCAATACGATGAAAGGCTCGAGATTTATGATCAAAATATCATTTTTCCACAATCAGTTCGGCGTTTTCATTTCGAGCAGTCGACCGTTACTTTCGACTTAATCCCAGAAATCCCTTTCGCAGTTTCGGGCGACCAACCCTAGCCAGAGTAGATCGTAAAATCCCCGCTACATCCTTGATTGATTTCGAAGAACAAGGGTCGGCAAATATCCGATCGCACATCAAATAATTGTGCATACCATCTAACATTTACTAAAAAAAAAAAATGTTTTATTGACAAGCGGCGAAATCCTCTTAACATTTTGTTTGTATCTATAATACGTATTCATCTATAAAAAAAAGTGGAGTTATGACCAAGAGTAAATTCCTTCATAGGAAATTTCACTATAGTAACTTGAATAGTCTTTTAAAATAAAGGGATATGCTAAGAGATAAGTAATCTCGCCACGAGAGGGACGCTATTTGTAAGAAAGAAATATTGGGTTGTCCGGAAAGTTCGTGCCGATTTTGAAGGAAAATTGAAACGCAGAAGATTTAAATTTTAGTATACATTTAGTAAATTATATAGGTCGGCACGAACTTTCCGGACAACTCAATATTATTTTATATAAAAAGACGTATGAAAATCGAGAAAATGGAGTCTTCTGTATTAAAAAAAAATATTTTATTCTTTTGATATCCTCTTAATGTTAGAAAATTTTTCTGACATATGGCCTCAAAAAGGTAAAAGAATATCATATAACTACGAGATGTTGGGTAAATTAGATTTAAGGTTTCTCTTAATAGAGAACTAGAGCTAGAAGTTACATTGACATCATCCTGTCAATCCATATAATAAATCTTAAACGAATTTTATTTGACCTTGCGGAATTAACAAGGCCGAAACAAGTTTTCGATCAAGTTTGCGGATGGTTGACAAATACGATTCCGGTGAGATCTCGAGCTTTATTGAAGACACCGGCGGCGGCGTGACTAATAAAATCGAGGTGTGTCGCGTCGCGTCGGTTGGCTTCGCGCTTGGTTCATAGTCTCACAATCCGCGGATTCGATTTCGATTTGAAGAACGAATCCGCTTCTCACATACACGGTTTTCCGCATTAAAAATTAGTTTTGTCTTTATTAAGAAGCAATATTACCATCTGATGTTGATAATCTGTATAAGTAGGAATGATTAAGACTAAGCAAAAGGCTTAAGACCGATTTCATGACGAGTTTCATCTTGAAACGATACGAGTTTAAGAATTGAATTTAAACTGATTGTGAGTATTTGCTAAGTGTGGCTTCTATCGAGCTTATGCCGAGGAGGCATAACACTGGATCATGTAATCCTCCTTATTATATGGTCATCAATTTAATTATTTCGTCGTATTCTTCGCTATACATTTTCCAGGATTGTAAAAAGTTTTTGTCAAAAGTAACTTTAATTAAAACGAACTTACTATTAGACGCGAATAAAAATAGAGCAAAATGTAATCGCTCTGTTAGAAAATGATGTTTAATTATGATATAACAATCTAAGTATATTTATGTTAAGTAAAAATGTTTGAAAAATATGTTTGATGCAGTTACATAAATATTCCAGATTGATATTCGTTTATATTATAAAAATATATATTGTATACGGACGAAAAGTTATGATAAGTTCCGAAAATTTTAATTGAAGTAATTCTGCAGGTTGATGACGCGTGTTGCCCTACATCGCGTATTACAGAGGAATCATCCCGGTCCCTTCATTCATTTAATATAAATATTTATATTTGAGCGCTCTTACTTCCTGAGCTTTTTCCAAACTCATTTCCCGATGTAAATATTGTTTGCCTTCGCAATCCATTGGTAAGCCTTCGGGGACGCAAAGGAAGAACAAAGATTTCCTTAGGGTGCCTGTGAAGCTATCAAATACAGTAACTTTGTGGTTCCGAAAAAGAGATACTCTACCTTTATCAAAATTTCTCATCTCCTCAACATCTCGAAAATCCAAACCTTATCAGTATTTTCGAATACGTTTGTTACTCAAACAATTTGATTGTTGAAACGTTTCTGATCATTATCAAATCAGGCGATCGATGTTAATCTTATTGTAATTTAACTCACGTGACTTTGTATAAGCGTACGAGCTTTTCGAACTCGTTAATATACACCCTAATCCTGTCGATTACTAGAATATTCTAAAGTGCTGATTCAATCTTTGGATAAAGGATTTGTTCGATGATAAGATCCTTTTTTGGTAAATAAGATGTTGAGATATGATCGATTTATGATGACTATCTTTTTATTCATAAATGGTGACAATCGATTATTATTTAGGTTGCGGATTATATATTACTACAGTATTATAAACAATTGCAAAATCGTTATTTCATTTTTAAATTAGTTTCATATATAGTATATATATATAT